TTAGTTTATTTATGTATTTATTTATCTATTACTGGCTACAGGGCATCGTGGACACTAACCGCTAAGGGAAGAGATACACGCTACCTGGGTGGTTCTTGCAAAGAGTAATCGCTTGTGGGATCAGCACCTGAAGAGGATCCATGTTTCCTGGTAACCGGGAGGACTGATTTGCAAACTTGGCAGTCTCATTCCCCAGAGCAGGAAGCATGAGGAAGAGGAAGGGAAGGTAAGTGCTATCCATGAAATCTGTGACTTAAACATGGCAAACACCAAACTGAGAAGTGCGCGTATATTATCTCATTAAAATAGTTTATACGTCTACAATCATGGTACTCTGAATGCACCCGATCGCCTTCTGATAAAATATTATTCGAAGTCACTAGAAGCAAAGAAAACAGAGCACGAGCGTGCCCGAGCTTCCTTTAGTGCTAATGAGCAATTTCCTGCCCCAGAGAGCTGGTCAGAGCTTGTTTCGCACAAGTGGATGTGTGTCTGCCCTCCCCGAGGAAAAGGGGGCTCCAAGAGCCCCTTTTCCCGTTAATGTGCCCCAGGCCTGGCTGTCCCTACATGGATTTGTGGAATGACCGCTGGTGGAGAATGCGACATTTGCAAGCACTCGGGAAAGCTTGCCTTCCAACGCTCTCTAGAATGTCCTCGGCTTGGCCAGAACTCAAAGGGATGATGGCAGGAGGAAGGCAGGCAGAGAGGCACAGTGGAGAGGGCCCTCTAAGAACGCTCACTCTTGTGATGGCCAATGGCTCCTCGCCATGGGGTCTGCCCTGGAGTGTACTTGACATAGTCAGTGATATTCCATTGGACAAAAGTGGTTTTCCCTTTCCTGGTAGGCATCAATCACAACACATAGCTTCTGGAGCCAGCCACCAAGCCACAAGAAGGCCAAATTAGCCGAGGGAGACCATGGGAACGGAATGAGGAGACCATCCACCCCAGCCTTCCAACAGCCCCACCAATTGCGTTGATGGAGCCATCCAGCAACCCGACCCTAGGGCCATGAGACATCCCAAACACAACAGAAGAAACTTCTGAGGTCTCCTCAGCTCACGGACTCACGAGAGGGGATAAAGCAAAGGTTTCAGGCAGGTCTCACTTCCAAAAGTGAGAGAGTCGGCAAACACGTCATTGTGTATATCTGTCTTTGGAAAGTCGGTGTACATTTTCACAGGTAAGCCACTGAGTGGGAGGAAACATGACTTCTCTATAAGCTGTTTGCTTTCAGTACTAGGCTAGATTTTTTTTTTTAAACAAAAATCTCTCTCGCTCATGAATTTCCTTGTGTAGGAGCAGCTGTCCAACAGATGGCATAGGCAAGGATGCCCAAAAATGGGGATGCTGGAAAGGCCTTTGCATAAAGGATCTTAGTCTGGGTTGTGATGGCTGCCTATGGCTTCTTAGGATAACAGAACCCCATTACAGAGTCAACTTTATCCGACAGAGTCCACTCCCCAGGCCCTGCTGAGGACTAGGGCGGTTCTGAAGGGAGGAGAAGGCAGGTCTGGGTGGGGTAGCTTCAGAACTGGAGTTCCTGGTCTTGCAGAGAGCCCACTGTGGGTCTAGGACATGTTGGCCCTCAGATGCCAGGTTAGGGGGCAGAGATACAGAACAGATGAAGGGGCTTCGTTTTAGCGGAGGCTGGGAATGCCTCACCATGTGGGCCTGGGCAGCAGCATATGTATGGTCCCAGCAGGGCCCCAGCCACAGAAGGGAAAGCCAGAGAGAATGGAATGATCCCACGGAGCCCTGCTCCTTCTGTGTTTTACAGTCGTTTCCTGTGTATATATCCTTCTCCTGAGCGAGTGAACTCATTCTATCTCACCGCAGTGGGTGCAAACAGACCCCACCCACCATTTCCTGGGTGTGGGTGCTGTGGGCAGACACCAGAGGGGTTTTTAAAAGAAGCTGTGCTATTTAGGGTGTTAGGATGTGCTCTCATGCCAAGGCAGCAATATGTCTACCCATGAGAACTTCCCACCACCCAGCAGAGGAAAGCCATTTCCAGGGCTCACGTTGAATCAATACGCCTTCCTGGCACTTTCCTTCTGTGAAGTCATTCTGTGATCTTCCTTCCAGTGAGTTCCCATCTCAGGGCTGGCTGGGGCATGAGCCTCATCTTCTGATGTGACATTCAGACCCCAGCCAGACTCCACTCTCAATGCCTCTGGAGTTAACTCCAAAAGTGGGCAGGGTGGGGGAGATGCTGTCCCATCTGTAGGCAAGTGAGACATTTGCCAGGAAGGTTCTAGATGTGCTCTGTTCCTCTAGATCATGAATTGAAAGAGAAAACCCAGGAAGGGGAGCTTGGTGGCCGACCAGCACAGAGCCTGTGCGCTCACGAGGAACATGTAGGTGTGCGGTTCCGTCGGGGCTGGCCAGGCTCTTCCTGGCTGGGCTAGGGACACGCAGGAACTGGTTATCCGTGCAGACTAGCTGAGAGAGGAAGGAAACAACCACTGCCAGACACAGAGTGAACATAAAGGGCAGGTAAAAATGGTTTTCTAGTACTCAAATGCTAACGCAGGATCTCGGCCTTCATCACATTGAAGTCATTATCGGAAAGAGCTAGTCACACCGTGGGACAGCCCTCCCATGACTTCAGAAACGGACTCTAAGTGACGTGTCTTACTGTGATCTCTCCCTGACAGCCAGCACCAAGTCTTCCGTCCTCAGTATTGGACCTCCTGGGATCTCCGAAGTAGCAAGAAGTCCAGACCACGCCCAGCTCTACTGAATGAGACTCTCCAGAGGGTAGGACCAAGGCTTCCTAACAGACACTCTGGTACATAACGAATAACGATAGCAGGATTGGCTGTTCCTATTGCCATTACTTAGAAGAACCCTGTTCTCCTGTTTGCATTATCTCCCCCAATGGCTTCATTCTTAAGATGCCTTTATCAAGGGACGACGCAAAGATAACCAAACCCTAAGCATCCTCCCACAGAAATGACTTCCAGAGGCAGGAGCCCCCTGTGCAGGGCTACATGGCCCCTGACCTGTGTCTACACAGCAGCCGAGGTGTCAGCTGCACACTTAGGGATGTGCAGATTAGCCAGGCTGATCTGGTACCATCTCTTGGACAAGCACAGCAGAGACGATTACTTGGAGAAAAGGAGAAGCAGAGACCAGTGAATAGTTTCCTTTCTGGGAGACTAGAAAGATCATGCCCACAGCCAAGTTGGCCAGCTTCCTTCCTGGCACTCTGTACACATGTGTGCCTCAGGCACCTTCAGACGAGAGAACACTTAGAATGCCACCAACATCTCATACGCCATGCCCCTGTCACCCTCCTCTCCCCCATCGCCCCCACCCAGAGAAGGGGAGAACATCCTGGCAAGGTATATGCCTACTCAGGCTCGGCAGCTAGCTTGTGGAGCTGGAAGTGGCTATAGGATTCTGATGCCAGAACCAAGCAGTAACAAGACAGCTCCAGCTTGTAGGACTTCCGTGGACAGGAGGTGTCCCTGCTCTCCTAGCTTACTCTTTGGTCCTGAAAGACAGACAGCCCCTCCCCTTTGGTGGCGTCCAGAAGAATGGTTATCATGCCATGGAGACATTTTAGTGGTTTGTGAATGGGACAAACAACTTTCCACTGGACGTTGGATTGTGTGCTGCCGGCCCCTCTTGGACAGATCTGCCAGCTTTGCTGGCCATGAGGACAATGTTGGACCTTCTCTCAGGCTTGAAGGCAGTGCCCCCAGCTGGGCTAGACACTACACAGTAACTCAGAGAAAATGAGTTATGTAGATAATCCCCCTGCTGGGGAGATGCTCACTCAGTGGGTAAAGCGCTTGCCATGTAAGTGTGAAGTCTAGAGTTAAGATCCTAGCACTCACACAACGATGGTAGGCAAGGCAGTACTCTTATAACCCCATCTCTAGGGAGATGGGGATGGAGAATGCCCAGGACAAGCTGGTGAGCTCTACGTTCAAAAGACAGACCACGATGCAATATTTAAGACAGGGAGCAATTGAGAAAATTACCCAACTCTACCTTGGACCTTCACACCACACAAACATGCATGTGCGCGCACACACATTTTCACAATCAAGCAAACTTATGTATGTGTCAGCGCGCGTGCGCGCGCGCGCGCACACACACACACACACACACACACACACGGCGGGGGGGGATGATAAGACCCAAGTTGACTATGTCCTAACTCTCCCAGGAAAGGACACACTGCATTTTTGTTATTGCCCCATCAATACACACCAGCATGTGGGAACTCTGTGAAGAAGAGAGATTTCTTCAGCTCACAGCTCTGGAGACTGACGGTCCAAGGCAGGGCACCCAATGCTTAGCTTTCTCTGAGACTGCGTTATGACACAGCAGACATGTGTCATGTCAAGGGTATGTACCAGAGGGACAGACCACGTGATGAGACCAGATAACAACTCTTTTTGGGGACACTCGGGACCAGCATTGATTCCTTCCAAGAGCAGATGCGAGAAACCCCAGTGGCCTTATTCCCTCCCACTGGGGCTCATGTCTGAGAGATTCCCCCGACCTCAAAGCTGTCATTCTGGCGAGCAAGTTTCCAACATAGGAGTCCTTGGGGGATGGTCAACCCATCCCCAAATCACGGTAGAGTGGTGCTTAGGGTGGAGCCTTAGTTCTTGATTTCACCCATCCAACAGTGTGTTCCCCTTCCCAGCCCTCTGGGTTGCCTCATATCCGTCCTGACCTTCTCTTACCTCCAAAGTACTGCATTCTGCACTTTGATGATTTTTCATCGTCTTTCTGTGCTATCGAGAACCGAACTTTATTATATAAAGACTCCAAACACTACTTTCAAATCCTTTTGCAGGCTTTCACTTTTTATATTCTACCTAGCATGCCTGTCTCTCTATGAATAAACAAATCATTCTCTGAGCAGGAAGAGAGAACGAGCTTCCTTTGTTGTGGTGGTAGCTCTTGCTGGCGGCGCCGTGAATTGTAACACGAATACATTTCCACCTTCCTTCTGACAGCAACGGAATGCAAGCCACACCCTTCTCCACACAGATGCAGAATGGGAACGCACCCCTGAAAAGGCTCACCTGCAAGCTGTCTGCGTGGCATCTTGGTCCATGGTTTCCAAGGTGACTGACAAGGTGCTGCTGGGTTCTTTCCAAAGCTGCAACAGAGAGAGGCAATGCATAGAGGATTCAGGTGGGCAAGCTGTTGATGAGCGTGGAAGGAAGGAAGGATGGTGTACCACATATGGCTGGCAGGTGACAAAGAGGACATTCTGTCCCATCATTACATCAGTTTAGGGATGGCATTTAACAACAATTTAGCATGCATCTACCTTAAGGAGAAGCACAGTATGGCTCGGAAATTTTTAATTCTTGTTATGTTTTCTCCAGAAAATTGGAATGTTCTAATTATTTAGCAGTCTCACGGCTGGTTAACAAAACTACATTGATGACACCAGCACAAAATGCCCCAAACTGCCTGCTCATTTGGGGATAGGAAAGAGGATGTGTTTTTGAGTGTGCGTGCATGCGTGTGTATGTGTGTGTGTGTGTGTGTGTGCGTGTGTGCGCGTGTGTGCGTGTGCGTGCGTGTGTGTGCGTGCGCGCGCGCGCACGCCCTTGCGGGTGTGTGTAAATGTGCATACAGGTACATGTGTGTAAGCCAAAAGACCCTCCTCAGTATTATCTTGTGAACAAATGGGCAGCACTATCCCTAGGCAGGAGTTCCTGAACAGTGCAAGAGAAGGAGGGGAGGGAGGGAAGGAGGGAGGGAGGGAGGGAGGAGAGGGAAGGAGGGAGAGAGGGAGGGAGGGAGGAAGGAAGGAGGCAGGAATGTAGGGAGGGAAGGAGGGAGGGAGAGAGGGAGGGAGGAAGGAGGCAGGAATGTAGGGAGGGAAGGAGGGAGGGAGAGAGGGAGGAGACGGAAGGAGGGAGAGAGGGAGGGAGGGAGGGAAGGAGGGAGGAGGGAGGGAGGGGGGAGGGAGAGCGGAAGGGGAGGGAGGGAGGGGTAGGAGGGAGGGGGAGGGAGGGAGGGAGGAAGGAGGCAGGAATGTAGGGAGGGAGGGAGGGGTAGGAGGGAGAGAGGGAGGGAGGGAGGGAGGAAGGAGGCAGGAATGTAGGGAGGGAGGGAGGGGCTAACTTCTCTTCTCTGTGCTCTTGACTGCAGATGTGTGATATGACTAGCACCCTGGGCTCCGCCTTGACTTTCCTGCAGTGACGGACCGTGGCCTGAAATTGTAAGCCAAATAAACCCACATCCCTATTGCTCTTTGTCAGGGCATTTTTGTCAGTGACAGAAATGAATCTAGGACAATTCCATTTTGGAACTTGGCTTGAGATAAAGTGTACGAAAGTCTCCAAGCCCCTAGGGAGAAATGTCTGGTGGGCAGCTCGAAGTCTGTTTTCCAGGTCTCAGACGTGAGATTAGATATTTTGATCACCTGCAGGAGAGAAGAGCCTATCGGGAGAGATGAGCAACACAAGAGGTAATCCTGGGACGGCCATTGCATTTGCGTCAGCGGGGAGGGGAAAAAATGGCTGGAGAAAGGTGACCCAGGGAATAAGAGAGGCCGGAGTTACAAGAAGTCCTCAGTCCCTTCTTGTCCTCCCCACAAATGCTTCCCCCTATTGAGAAGTCTCACAGACGGGCAGTCCCCCATCTGCCTGTCTCCCCTTCTTTCTCGGAAGAGATGAGACTCTCTCACCAGGGAGGGAATGGCAAGGGTTGGCCCAGGCTTGGATCGGGAGCAGATCTGTCAGAACTAACATGACAAGGTGATGAAATGTTGATTTAAAGTCAACATTCTAATTGAATGACAGTATTTAAACTAATTTGGAGGTCCAAAGCTTGGCTAACTTTCTCTGAGCGTTCATTTACCACAGCTGCGGTCTGGGCATTTTGGGAAACGGCAAACTCTGCTGCAGCGGCTGCGGTGGCAGAAATGGTAACGGTGGCCACAATTGCAGCGGAAATTCCAAAATCCCCTTTTTGTCGATACAAAGTCATTGTGGTCCTTGCATCGTCTAGAAAAGACTATGGAACCACCGCAGCAATGCGTACCATCATGGTGTTATCTTCATGCACCCAGCAGTTCGTCAGGGAGCAGTTTCTGGAAGAACAATTAAGAGTCCCCCCCCCCCACCCATTCCAAACAACAAAGGAGAGAGAGAGAAGAGAGAGAAGTTCTTAAAATCTTAATAAAAACATATTTGTCTATACTTTCATGACTGCTTTTATTCCTTATTGTGGGTCATGCCATTCTTTCAGCAAACAAGTATTTACTAAAACAATATTTGCCTTTTAAAGATTTATTTAATTTATATACACGAGTGTTTTGCCTGTGTGGACGTGTATGCACCCCATGCAGGCATGATGTCCACGGAGCCCAAGAAAGAATGTCAGACCCTCCGGTACTGAAGTCAAAGTCCCTGTGTGGCTGCCAGGAAGCAAACTCAGGTCTTCTACAAGAGCGGCAAGCGCTCTTAAGCGGTCCTCTTTCATCCCTTTGAAAATGTGCTGTTTTAGGTAATGCATTATAATGGCTGGACATTGACTCTGCACGCATTCTTTGAGAGCTGTGTGGGCTTTTATTCTTGTCTCTTTGGTCACATGTCTAGTGACTGAGCTGAACCAACTCTGTGCTACTCATACCCTATGCACCGTTATGCCTCTGCGCTATTGAGTGTATGTCGAGTTGACACAGGAGAAAGTCATTCTGAAAGAGGGAACTTCAACTAGGAAGATGCTCACCCCAGACTGGTCTCTAGGCAAACCTGCGATGCATTTGCACCCTCTTGATTGATTGATGTGGGAGGGCCCAGCTCACTGTTGGCTGTGCAGCACCTAGGCTGGTGGCCCTTGGCGATATATATATATATCGCAAGCTGATGAGGCAAGCCATGGACTGTTGCCTAGAAGTGTGACATGAAATAAACCCTTTCCTCCTTAAACTGATGTTGGACATGGTATTTCATCACTGCAGAAGAAACCCTAACTAAGACACTTGTAATGACATTGCTTCATTATCCATTCATTTGGAGCTTGTTCGGGACCGCCAGAAAATCCCTGTGTTTCAGCCCCTTGGCCTTCAGCAAGTCTCCTCTTTACTCTGTGTGGCTTCAAGATCGACGTCATTGTTGAAGGACTTTCTACCTTGTTGAGTGTTGATGCTGCGGGTCCTGACTTGGATGTCCCATTTCAGATCACTGCAGGAAAAAAATGCACATGCGGCTTCCCAGGACTCCATGACTGCATTCTGGCTTCCTAGAAGTTTCCTTTGGATGGAGAGACGCATATCGTTCATCCAGTGTTTTCCCAGAGGGTGTGGTTAAGCACAGAGGGAGGTCTTTTCATGATGGGTTTGTGTGTGCTGTGTCAGAAACACGGCTGAACACGTTCGTGTCTTTGTGTCTACCTGCAATGTCGCAAACGACTTCTGTTTTGTTGGCTGTAGTTGGCCACGCCATCCTGATTTCCCTGGGCAGCTACTGTTAGGCAACCACGGGTTTGTTCTTTCCTTCTAGTCCAACTTACTAATATTAATTCTCAGATCACAAGGTCACACATTTCACAGTTTGTGTGTGTGTGTGTGTGTGTGTGTGTGTGTGTGTGTGTGTAAGACAGAATGGCTACAGAATGATTAAAGACGCATCAGAATTTTCTGCACAGGGCAGAGAGCTGATGGGGAACAAAGGGAACCACTGTAAGTTAGCTGAGATATTTGTGACTGCATGGTTCCGGAAGCGGGCGCGAGACTACGTCTTGATCATTGATAACAACTCCAGTGGGCTGTGACGAATGTTTAGGACCAGGACTAGGTTGAGCTGAAGCCTTGTAGATAGCTGGGGGCCACCCATTAGTGCAGGCGCTGGGCGGTGAGTCTGGTCACTGGCTTCGCCGTCACAGTGTTAGGCATCCTTCTGGTTACTGGGTCCACAAGAGAGTGTTCTAGGTCTCAGTGGTCTGCAGTGCTCACTGAACTCCTATGCTTGGTTTCTCTGGTATCGTTTCAATATTTACACACGAGTGTGTCCTTGATGTATAAATGGCATCTTCCTGACTACAGCTCTGCTATTTGTATCCAGTGGGAGAGCCTGAGAGCAGCCACTTTAACTCCTCTTTCCCAATTAACGAAGGATCTCTCTGTGAAAATGGGTGTGGTTTGTGCCTGATCCCAGGTCTGGAAGGGGGTCCCCAATGTGGTGTGATGTGCAGGGGTCCCCTTCAGCCTCCAGTTCAGTAAGAGACTGGGTTTCAAGGTTATTCATGAGGAGAGTGTAAAAGGGAAAGATAACCAATGTCCTGCTCTGGCCTCTGCATCTATGCACGTGGGTTCAAGGACCTGAGTACGCTTGCATGCACACACACATGCACCGAGGACTCGGGGGACAATGGCAGTCATGGCTACTGCGTTCATGGAAAGGGGTAAGAAACTGCTGTGACTTTCATCAGGGGAGAGAATATGCTGCAGATTTTACGGCCTGGGGCTTCCTTCCCAGGCTCCGTAGAGCAGTCGGGTGGGAACATTTGAGGGTACATTATGCTTGATGCACGGGAGGAGTCTGGCCCCCAGGGAGCTCGCAACTAGAGCCTGTGGGGGCTACGTTCCCCAGGGAGCATGGAGGTCAGGGGTCTCCTGCAGTAGCCTTGGACCCAGATGGGATTTCTATTCTCAGAAAAAAATACTGGCACAGCATGGGGTGGTCTCCCAGCAGCCCCCTCTGCGAAGCGCATGCTCTACACTTGCAAAGCTCTGTTTGTGAGGTTTCTGTCATTGCTCACGAAGAAAAGGATCTTTTTGTTTACTGAGAATAAATAGCTATTCTGAGTGATGAAACAGGCCCGATTGGCACTGCCCTGAGTGGGGTATGTAGGTCAGGATGTTCCTTGTTTGTGTGTTTCTTGGAGGCAGGTTGACGTTTCTCTTGTTTTGAAAAGACTCTCCAGAGAGCTTATTATCTAGGGGAGAGGTTGGCGGGCACCCTTCCAGGAAGTTCTGAGGGCGCACGCCAGAGGCTTGTGTTGGGGAGCAGGGTGGACTAGGGCTGGGACTGTGGGGTGGGGACTAGAAGCAGGGATGGAGAAAGATCACAGCCGCTGTGGCCACCGGGCCCCATTCCACCACCTTGGACATAGTGGATTTTAATCACTGGAGACTGTGAGGCCAAAGGGGACTCCAAGAGCAAATGGCTCTTTGCATGGTACTTGTAGCTAAAATGATAGAAGCCCTTAGATCTGGGCTGGGACACGCTTTCACGGTCTGTTTTGTTTTGCGCATCATTCAAGTGGATTCAGCCGATTTTCCTCCCAGGGCTGGCTGTGAGGTCATCCGATGGCTGGGTGGGGTGAGCGGGAAAAGGAGAAACCACCAAAGACCCAGGCTTTGACGGGGGGTGGGAGAGTTGATGGGATGCTGGTTCAGTACACTCTCCTTGATCCTCGGGTCAACAGATGCGAATAACTCATGACAGGAGGCGCAGGACTCTCCTCCATCCCTACGTCCCTTCTCCGCTGTAATAAAACAGCCCGACAAACGCAGCTTTAAAAAGAGGGATTTCTGTAGCCCCCAGTCCCAGAGTGTGTCCTGACAGGAAAGGCGGGACATGGAGCCGGAACAGGAAGCTGGCTGATGTCTTCACTCACACCCAGGAAGTAGGGTGTGGCTACTTCCTCCAGCAGGGCTGTACCGCCTGAAGGCTCCATGACCTCCCAGCGGAGTACTACCAACTTGGGGACCAACGGTTCAGATACAAGGGCCTATGAGAGACAAACCAGCACAGCACGGAGACGGTTCTTAAGCGTGCTAACCCTAAAGCAGTAAGTTTGGCCTACTGTGGCTGCTATTCTTGCCTAGTTGTTGCTCTCCGAGCTATCGTGTGAGTGCCTCTCCTCCCCAACTCCTTGTCAACGTGAAACTGAGGGGCACAGTTGATGACATGGTTTACGTCTTCAACGTCCCTCAAAAGCTCATGCCCCAGTGTTAGCAGGGTTTGGAGAGGACAATTTCAGGACACAGTGGGGACTAGGAAGCTATGACCTCGTGAACGGGTTAACACACTGGTGGGTTTGTAAATTACCTGATCTCAGAGAGAGGGTTTGCTTCCTCTTTGCCTCCTGGCCACCACAAGGCAGCTTCACTCGAACAAGAGCTCCCTGATATGATGCCACATCTTACCACAGACCCGTGATGATGAGTCCAAGCAAGCATAGATTGAAGCCACTGAGACAGTGAGCCAAGAGAACCCTTCCCTCCCTGGGCATTTCCCTCAAGCATTTTGTCATAGGGATGAGGGCTGGGCAACACGGAGAGGATGAACAGTGAACTTGCATCAAAGTTGGTCAGCCCTTAAAGAGGACTGACGATCTGAGTGATTCGGCCTTCCTTGGACCCATGGTGACAGCACTTTACTTAGTAACTATCTCTGAGCCCAGAAGAGAAGCAAAGGCTTTTACACACACACACACACACACACACACACACACACACATGCACACGCATGCCACATGCACATGCGCCCGTGTGCGCTCACACACACACACACACACTCAATAAAAAATAAATAAATAAATAAATAAATAAATAAATAAATAAATAAATGCAATCCTAGCTCAGATCTCCTACTGGATCTGGGTAGGGGTGTCTGAAGTGATGGCCATCCATCAGTAAAGCAACAGAGCCTGATGCTAGAGGCTGGGAAACGCGGGAGGGGGCATCTTGCTGTTAGAGGAAACAGAAGCAAACTGAAATCATACTTGAGTTTCTAAATTCCCAACAGCAAAATTTGTTTTTGATTTATATACCCCAGCTTTTAACATCGGCCTTAGTTTTCCTGCCTGACCCAGAACATTTTGATTTACAAATTGGAAAATAAATGGCTTTGCACATCCTGGGACTGTCTTACGAACCACTCCAGTAGATTCTTCATCAGCCCTCAGCTCTTAGCCCCTTCCTGTCTGTTTGGGCTGCTCTGTGAATTATGGGTGAATAAATCATGTTTGGCGAGCCCGGCTGCCGCAGCCCATTTGTCTGTCTTGGAAAAGAGGCCTTGGGACTCAGTTAAATTTAGGCGAGAAGTGCGTGGCCTGTTTGGCAGGTCAGGCTTTCTTAGAAACCTCTCTCCCCTCACAATGCTGATGCTCACTCACAGACCCCTGGGCCA